CGCGCGTAACGGGAAAGAACGAGGCGATGGATTAAAGTGACGTATCGCGCCAATAATCCCACTCTTCGGCCGCCCTGTTGGCCCGCCTGCCTGCCTGCGCGCCCGCCTGTTGGCCTGGGCACGCCCCACAAACCCTTAACGACTGGGGGGCCGCCCGCCAGCCAGCCAGCCAGCCAGCCCGGCGGGGCGCCGCAGTACGGTACGCGAGACGGTGCGGGGGGCGTGTAAGGAAGGCCGGGAAATAAGCCTGCGTTACTTTTTAGGGGGAAGGAGGAAGAAGCGGGTCGCGTGTGTCGCGAAGCACCGCGTTAAAAGTGACGGATTAATATTCGGGGAGAAGGGCGGGCTGTTCGTTTGCAGAGTGGTAACGAAATTCGCTGTTTCGTCGCTCCGTCTCTCTCGCACTCACAGTGCGCGCGCTGTGAGTGAGACAGAGCGCGTCGAGCACGCGTAAAAGCCGCGCGGCGAGGGGCGCATCCAGGAGGAATCCCCAATCCCCGGCGCTGAAATGAGCGCGAATCTCGGGGGCCCCCGCCGCAAGGCCCCCGCAGCACGGCCCCCGCAGCACGGCGCAGGCTGCGGAGGGGGAAATGTAGACATTATTTCCTGATGCACCGTTAAGGACCCTCATCAGGCGGCGAAAAATTCGGGCGGAAGGGGCGCGCCGCCACGCCGCCGTGCCGCCGTGCCGCGTGGCGAGGCGAGGCGGTGAGGCCTCTCCCGCCGTAATTTGGCGGCAAGGCGGCAAGGCCTTCGTCGCCGGAACGCAGGAGCGCCGGAACGCCCCGTGGGGGAACGACCGCGAATTTGCGAACCTGGCTTCCAGGACAGCACCTCAATATTTTTAAAATATTTTTTCTCGCATTTTTTGTCTTGAACCTATTTTTCAAAAATTATTTGAGGCGACGTAAACGCCAAGAGAAAGCCAGTGTTTCTGCAAGAATTTTTTTTTTTCGACTGACTTTGACGACGCTCGGGCACAACCTGACACATGCGAGGCCCCCCCGTCCCCTAGCCCTCCCTCGCCCTTCGCTCGCTCGGCCTGCGTCATTTTCCCCTCGGCGAGGGGTCAAAGAAGAAGAGCAAACAAATAAAAACAAAAAGGCGAGGGTTATCGCCTTGACGGGGCCGATATCGAGAACACAGACCAACTCGAGCGAGAAGGCCGAAGGGCCCGAAGGGTCGGAGCGAGAGGATCGAAGGCCTCGCACAAAATATGCGCACCACTTGCCGGACGCCGCGGGGGGCCGCGGGGACTCGCGGGGGGGGGGGGGCGCTACTGCGGGTCTGCGCCTCTCTATCCACTGGCGAAACAAAGTGACACGAGTCGAGCACTCCGAGGGCCCCTCGCCTTCCTCGGCCACTGCGCGAGCTAACTCTCCTTCCAGTGGATCGGCCGACGTCGCGAGAGTGACCCCTTGACGCGCTGCTGAGTGTCCGTCCGTTATTGCCAGTTATTGCTCCACAATCACTGCAGGAGAGCCCAACGACGGGAACACGAAATCCAGCCAACGAAATTCAGCCAATGAAAGGCGAGGGGAAAGGCGGGCCACTGGAACAGTCACCGGACCTGAACTGGGCAGCCCGCCCGGTCCGGCCTGCCCGTGTCCAGCCTGCGCCGCCCCGGGCCGCCGGACTCGCCACCACGTGCGTGTGCGTCTGTGTGTCTGTGTGTGTGGCACAGGAAACACGTGCATGTGTGCTTTCACGGCGCCGCCGCTCGTATAGCGCGCTGGGCGCCGCGTGTACGTACGGTGTACGGGAGGGAATAAAAAATAAAAGCATCTGCGAGAACCAAGGGAACGAAAGCGGGGCAGGGGGCGGCGTAAAACACAGAAAAACGGGTGAAACAGCAGCGGCGGCAGCGCTGGGTGCCGCCACTGCGAAATTATCCGAGTTTCGGGTGGCGGCGCGGCGCGGCGCGGCCTTTGCAGAGGCAGTGGCAGTTGCAATAAAGCGACACAATAACGGAGAAACAAACGCCGCCGACAATGCCGCAGTTAGCTGACTTTGCTTGTCCACATAAATTACGTTTATCGTGGCCCCGCCCCGCCCCGGCCCGCCTCACCCCGCGCAATCCCTCCCGAACACCGCGCCCACTGCCTGCGGGACCAGGCCAGCCCGCCTAATCTCCCTAATGCACAATTAAGATGTCCGCCGTGTGACACAACTTGGCCTAGGGACGACGACGAGGACGACGACGTCGGTGACGTGCCGCCGAACAGGCCCAAACGGCGCTGTGTGTGTGTGTGTGTGTGTGTGTGTGAGTGTGGTGTGAGTGTGTGTGTGTGTGTGTGTGTGTGTGTGTGTGTGTGTGTGTGGGTGTTGTGTTGTGTGTGGGTGTGTGTGTGTGTGTGTGTGTCGCTCCGTCTTGCGGCCGCGTTGACTTGTCGGTCGTGTCACCCGATCCGATATGTAGGCCGCCCCCGTCCCGGGCCGCCCCCGCCCCCCCCGCCCCCGCCCCCCCCCCCCCCCGCCCCGTCCACGTGCCGCCCCCAGCCCGGCCGGGCAGTGACGTGACGGGCATCCCGAAACGCGGCGCGCAAACCCAGCTGCAGGCTCGGCAGCGGCGGCGGCGGCGGCAGGCTGCAGTCTTACAAGCCGGTATTTGCTGCAGCATACAAAACGACCCCCGGACGACCCCGAAGACGACCCCCGAGACGACGAGACGACGAAAAGGGGGGCTTTTAGGACCTCTGACATGCGCACGCCACATCGGCGGCGGCGCGGCTGCCTGAGAAATAACAACTTTGTTCACGGAACGGGGTGGTTTGTCACACGGAACTCTACTCAGTCGGAATCCTCCGTGCGTCTGTCAGGCCGGGAGTGGAGAGTGGGCACGCCTGTCGGCAAGGGTAACATCCCCCCGGAGGCCGTCGACGTGCCGTCGGCCGCGGAGAGCGCCGTGGTGGCAGGCCAGCCCGCCGCGCAGCCGTGCATTGAGTGGCCTACCTCGCAGGCGCGCAGAGCGCCCGCAACGGCCAGGGTAGGCCCGCCGCACAGGCGCGCATTGAGTTGCCTGCGGCCACGGCGGCGGTGGCGGTCGGTCGATCCCCGAGGACTCGACAACGAACCCGCCTAGCTGAAGCATGTATCTGGGGAGAGAGGCTCGTCGGGGGATATCGAGTCCTCTGGAAATGACAACACTGCCGGCCGCCCCGCCGCGCCCCGCCCCACCGCGAGGCCGCGAGCCCGCGAGGCCCTACGGCCCCGAAGCGGGATTTGGATTGCATTGACATTCATTTCCTAGCCCTCCCCCTTCCCCCTCCCCCAGCACCGCGCGTCCCGTCTATCAGGCCACATCCAGATTAGATGCTCTGCCTCCCAGATTGGGAAGAGCGAACCAATACGGCCGGCGAGGGTGCGTGTAATGTGGGGTCGAGGCGGTCGAGGGCGACCCCTTTCCCCCTCCCACTGCCCTCACTACGTCCTCCACGCTTTTTATCCTCCCGTCAGTCGATCCCCGGCCGCGTCTAATCCTTAACAACGCGATCAGCGCAAAAAGCTGAAGGGGTGGGGGGCGTATATTCCGCGCGCGTGATTTTATTTCTCGCCCGACCGCGAAACCCACCCCTGTGCCGCCATGGCGCCGCGCGCCGCCGTGTCGTCGGCTCATGTGTTTCATTATTATTATTACCAACGAGCGCAAGCGGCTCTAGCGCTAATTTGCTGATTTACTCGGCCATAATTGAGGCACTTATTCGCGCTGGCTGACTGCCTGGCTGCCTGCCTGGCTGGCGGCACGTCGGGGGCGCCCAGAAGATACCAGCCACAGCCGGCGACACGCGACGAGAGATTTATGCGACGGGGCGGGGCGGGGCGGGGCGGCACACCCGTCCAACTTTTGCTCCCTCAAGAACGGCGCGAGGAGCATCCCTTGTTGCCTCGGTCTGTGGAAGTCACGATCATTTTATCTCGACGCAGTGCAGTCGCTTGGCCGGGGTGAGGGGCCAGACCGGGCGTAGGGTTGTAACCGTAATACGAGCCACGACGATAATCCCGATTTTGGATAGGAGTTGTAATCGTAACGTAACGTACACGATTAACGATCTGCAGACGAGTTAATCGTGTACGAGTTATCTTAACGATTCCCGGTTAACTGGTATCGATTTAACTAACAGTTTTAATTAGATTCCCAAAACTTGGGCAACTGCAGGCAACATGTTTAATAAAAAAAAAACTTCTGCCGTCAGATTTTGCAGCGTTGCACTTCGCGTTGCCGACGATATGTATCAAGTCAGTATGGTAAGTCATCCTTCATTACCGAACGCACTTATCGGTGAAAGTTTGACGAATTTTAAATTTAATCCTTTTCAACTAATTCGTAATGCGATATTGTGCGGGGGTGCGACAGTGCTGGTAAGATTGGGACATGCCACTCCATTAGTCCAATGACGACCGCGTGAGCATTTAACCTGCCTGTTTCTAACGCTTACGCCATGTGCGCCATCCTGAGTATGTAAAAAGTAGTTACTGTTGTAACGCTCGTTTCAGTCGTCCAACCCAGTAACTTATCGATAACTACCTGATAACGTGGTCGAAAGGTGTTAACTGTTAAGTGAGTTATCTTAACATAGGTCGGAAATTTTAACTTAACGATAACCCTCGATAACCAAAAAAATTATAACTTTTAACAACCCTGCGTGGCGTTTTAATTAGGGGACAAGAACCCCGTCGACTTGCACCGCCAACCGTGACGAGCGCGCCCCGCGTGCCGCCAGGCGAAACTTGGGCCCGGCATTTGACTAACGCGATGAATACCGCGCACATGAGTGTGCGCGCGCGAGCTCGCTGGCGAGCATGGTAATGATGTCAGTCAGTAAAACTCAATTTGTATGTATTTCCCCGTTTCACTGGTTCGATTCCCCTCCACCAGTTTCTTTTATTTTCGATTGTTTATTTTCTGGTGCGCGTCGCAACGGTGACATGGGTGGTTTCACGCGCCCTGTCAGCGGTGTGGCATGCACCTGGACTTGCAAAACACGCCGCGAGAGACTCACTCATCCGATCCGGCAAGGCCGGTGTAGCAGCGCGTTGTCGGCGCGGCGTCAGTCAGCACGGCGTCGGCACGGTGTGGCGGCACAGTGTAGCGGCACGGGGCGACAGCGCGAGGAATCCAGACGCTGTCACTCGCTCACTCCATAATGCATCGACGAGACACGCGGTGCGCCTCGACGACCTGCACGGCCTCCACGGCCTCCACGCCGCGCGGCACGACGCGACGAGGCACGGTGCGACGCGCGGGGCGGCGGGGCGCTGCGGCGCGGCGGCGCAGGACCAACAGATGGGAGGCGCGGGGCGCGACTGAGGACGAGGCGCCGCTGGCGCGCGAGGGGAGGGGGTGGAGGCTGGGGTGGGGGGGGGGGGGGAGGGGGAAGGCCCAGAGTCCGAGTCCGGACGCCTCCACCTCACTTCGGCGGCTCACTTGCCTCAGGTCGGATGGCCACAAAGGTTTGCGCTGTTCAAAAATGATTGCACACCGTTAATTTTTCGACCTATTTCACACTGATTTGAACGCATTGACCGCGGATGCGGGCCACGGCTGCAGGTCGCTGTGGTGCTGTCCGGCCGGGCCACGGCGGCCGGGCCACGGCCAGGCAGTACAATGAATAATGCAGCGAACGCACTCGGGCCGTGCTTGCCTTGCATTTATAATTACTGCAATAATTATTACATAAATGGCGGAAACAAGCGGCGGCCTGTCCGTGTCCGTTCTGCCTTGCGGTGGCGCGCGACGCTGGCCGCATGCGAAGCGCGCGCGCGGAGTATCTACGGAGCGGCTTTGGCCGAGCGCGGAGTATCTCCGCCATGCGGCACGGAGTATCGCCACCAACGCCGCTCGGACAGTGTCACAGCGGAGAGTGGGGCCTCCGGCCTGCGGCTCGCCTGCCACTGGAGAACAGTGTCACCAACCTGCGAATCAAAATACACGCGCAGCTTGGAGATTCGTCGCAGACGAGCAACAAACACGACTGGTCAAGCGATACTCGACTCTGAAAAATAAAATCTCCCGAGCGACTCACGGCGTCTCTCGCCAATCGATTGGGTAATACTGGGTAATCCCCTTGCATGTTTTAAAATTAATTTGAATGCTCGAGTCGTTATTCAATCTTGAAACAACAAATCATGCGCTCGGTGGACGGGTTCACTAAATGGTGTCGGTGGCGGTCGCTCTGGGCGCTTCGGCCTCGCCCGGGCCTCACTGCGTGGAGGCGCAACGCCTGGGAGGCAGGCAGCCCATCCAGCGGCACGCGCCGACAGTGCCACGCGCAGCACCGCGCAGCACCGCGCAGGTAGCGGTGGCGGTAGACCCCCCGGCGGCGACTCGTTACTGTGACCGCCATGAGACGCCGCCGCCTGGTCACCGCGACCCCCGGCAAACGGGCAGAGCGGCGGCCGCGCGATGACTTCCGATAGGCAAACCACGCCACCGTTATTCGCCCTCACACCACTCGATAAATTCGTTTTCCGCGCTCGTGTTTCAGTTGGCTGGGATCGGTCACCCTAACGGTCGCCCTTACGACGAGGGAGACCTTTCGTGACTCTATTTATCACACTTCTCAGAAACTGGCGGGAACTCTTTTTTTTACGGCGATGTGCGTGTAATTTTTTCCCAGTTCTTTGTGAAAAATACGCCACGATCCAATCACTCGATCGCGGCCGCTCTTCATTGGCAGCCCTCTCGCCTTGCTCAACCACATCTTGTGGTCTTTTTGGTGAGCGCTTTTTTTTTTACGGGCTGCCTGGTATTTGCCTCCCGGATCCACGCGCTTTTTCCCAAAAGCTACGAAATGAAATTAATTCATGCGATTTCTGTGCACGATTGATTCTCCGCATATGTGTGTCGTGGTCAGACACGCGCGCTTCCCTTGGCAGACGAAAAGGTTACATTATCAAGAATCAAGATGACATTCGTCCGAATGGCAGTGCCTTTGAGAGGGACTCGGCGGTGTCCTTCTCGTTATTTTCGAGAGGTCAGCTCGGCTGTGAATCGACATAGAGTGTCACGGGCAGTCGGTCAAGGAGTACGTGCTGAACGAGAGGCGTACAGTTAGCTGCACAATCATCGCAATAAAAAGAGAAAAACAGAATCGAGCGCTGAGAATTGAGGGTAACGACTATTTTTTTCACTGCCAAAATCATAATCTGACCCTCGTCGCGTCTCCGCCGACCGCGCCCAGTATCGAAATGTTAACGAGGGATCGCCACTTCGGCACGGATTTGTCGCGCAGTCATGACTTTCGACGGGCAGACGACATGCGACGTCCCGCGGCCAGCTGCCCAAATCCAGTCCAGGAGTAAGAGACACACGCCGTAATAACCCGCAGCCCGTCGTCACGGACTACATGTAGTACATCTTGGTTTTGTTGCGGCTGTCTCGTGTCGGAAAACGTGACTGCGATAACAGCGAAAGGCACAATACGACGCGTGGCCCCGTCGTGGCCGACAGCGCCTGGCTGCCGTCTGCCACGCCGCGCCACCGCAGCGGCCATCCGTGCGGTTCGACACTTTGGTGCCATCCTAACTTGAATTACCCGCGGAGGAGGATGGCGGGCTGCTGCTGCAACACGAGGGAGTGCCCCGGTGGAATCAGCAGCCACAATCGCCAAAGTGCCCCACAACAACACGTTGGTGGTGCCACGTGAGGCGAACAAACACGTTTCAAATCGACAAAAAATGTATGAAAAACGCTTCCCGGACCTGTGTTTTTCCGGCAAAAAAACCGCGTTCCTTCGCGTGATCCGGTGCGTCGGCCGGCGTCGGCGTCGTGGACCGCGGACGCTAACCGGACGGGCCGCGCGCCGAACTGGCGGGGCGGGGCGGGGCGTGGCAGACGGGGTAAAGATGTGAATCGTCAACTCGTGCGTAGACGCACTGTGACACGCACGTGATGTGCGCGGCTTATCGACTGACCCAGTAATGGGCGGAACAATTCGGCCCATTTCCTAGACGCTGATAGGCTGGGAGAAAGGTGTCGCAGTGTTGTGAGCGGAGCAAACAAGCCGTCGGGACCAACTTCATGCGCCGATTGTGAGCGACAGAAATGCCTGGCGTTGTTGCATGGTAATTCAAACGCCGACTGCGCCCAATCGCAGCAAAGCAAAATGGTGTATTCTCTCATCAGAAAAGCAGTATAGTAATTTTCGTGATGCGGTGCGGACCGCACTCCTGTCCTATGACGTACTCCAGCAAGAGTACGTCATAGGACGCGGGAACGCACAGAGGCAGCATGACCTCGAGGCTGTCCTGGTTGTCAGCTTGCGGACCCAAACACAAACTAGACAAAACAAAACGAGTAGTTGTACCTCTAGGAAAGAGGGACGCGGGGAGGGCTACGACAAATGTTACATTTGAGAGGGCCATAATTGGGAGATGACAGAGGCGAACGTTTTCAAGCCCATGTTTCGAAAAACCTGCTTGGAACCACTAGGATTATTAGAGCATCCCGAGCCGAATCTTTCCTGCTTCGAACTGCTCGTCGCGGCGTGCGCTGATTCGTATATAGGAAAAAGGAAGGCGACCGACAACTAGCCGCCAAAGTGCCCCTTCCAGATTCAAACGCGCGATGGACAGGCCCAGCATCTTTGGCCGGCCAGTGTGTTGTGGTCCGGAAGACGGTCTCCACGCTGGGGCCCTGCACGGCCGCGCCTAAGCCGGAGCCGCCGCGGGTGACGAAAATTAAGAATAGAGCAGAGTGTAATTAGTGGTATCGACCCACGCTTCCCGTGTGCGCGTGTGGCTGTGCGGGTGGCTGCGCGTGTGTGTTGGTGCGTCTCAATAGTGAAGTGATAGTGGTGTTCGCCCGGCCGTGCCCTCTCGTCAAGGGCCGGCGCCCGCTGTGACATCTGCACTGACCCGGCCACTTCCAAGTTCGCCTTGAATGCGGATGTGCCGGCCGCGCAGATACAATCTCGAGAAAATCCGTGCCTGGTGGCCTAGCCCTGCAGCCCCTCCTGCACCCTGCCCGCAAGGCCTGGTCCCGCGGGACAGACATGAGCACCATGGTGAAGGGAGTGCTGCGACCCGTCACCTGCTTCATCAAAGCCAAAGAGTCGTCTCTGCGGCCCGAGTCCCGGCAAGTCTGCCGTAAGTACTTAGTACTTCTCGTACTCGGTGGCGGTGTGCTGGTCGCGTCGGTTGCCAACGTTTCATCTTTTGCCCGGCCGATAATGCTCGGGTTGTGAAACCGTGTTCGGTACAGCGGGCGCGATGAGGCAGCTTATCGCCCATTTAGACGCTATGTGCGCCTTTCGAGCCTTCCGAGCCTTCCGAGGTGAAGCCAGGCGAGGCCTTCTCCACCCCCGTACCGTGACATAACAGGGCCACACCGGGAGAGTCGCGTGCCGGGACAGACAGGCGTCAGTAGTAAGGGGATCCCTCTGTCGCGAGCGCCATCTTGGCGGCCCATGGTTACCAGTAGTAAGGGACGTCCATCCTGACGGGCCGCCATTTTGGGGAACCGCTATCTTGGGTTTGCATGGTAACCGGTGGTAGAACGAGGCCCGTTTTACGTTGCCACGTTTAACACAAGATGTGCTCCGCAGAAGCAAAAAAAAAAGCTTTTTAACAAAAGTTTTTTTCGTTTTTTTTAAAACAAAAGCTGTAAAGGTAAACAACAATGGTTTTTCAGCTCTGATCGTCAGCACCTCAACCAAGGCATGCCACGCACACGATTCGATGGAGTGGAAAAGCTATTTATGCCAATTACTTATGTCAAACTGATCTCACTCGCAAATTAATCGTCGCAATTCGCGTCGCCTAAGTCGCGACTGCAGCTTTATCGGCGGTGTGAGGAGCACGAAAAGTTGCCTACCGGCACGGCGCACCGCCGCGAGCTACCGTGTGCCTCGCGTGGTCCTTCCATCTCTCCCTCTGGCTCATTTCCACGGTACTCTCGTACCGTCTCGTACCTTGCCTGTGTTATCCGTTGGTCGCAGCAGGCGAGACCAGTAGATAGTCATCGGCTTTTATCATCGTTTACCCGTGTTCAAATCCCAGCTTCTAATTTCTCATTTATTTTACTATTTATTTTTCTAGCATGCACCTACTAATGTTGAACATGCGTTTAAAAACCAACCAAAAGCACGGCGTGCTTCTGGTTTGGTGCTTATCAGAGCGTCCGGAAGAACATTTATTGCACCGATAAGACTTTGCTCCTTATTGCAACTGGGACTTGGACGGAAGTCTTCTCCAACCGCCTGGTCAGGCGGCCGGGC